ATATATATATATTTTAGAAAGATATTGACATGGGACTTAAAAGGATAATGTCTTCTACATTATAAGGAACAATGATGAATTAAAATAAAGGTAAAGAAATGTTGAAGTAAAGAAAGAAATCAGTGGTTCCAGCTTCCTCATGTGATGAATAAGTCAGCTTGAAAAGGATAGAAAAATGAAAACAAATCCAACAGGAAAAAAGGTTTTGATTAAGGAAGAACAAAATGAATAAGATAAAGGAAAAGATTAAAGAAAAAAAATATTTCCCACTGGAATAGAGAAAATGACCATTGGAAAAAGAAAAGAAAAGAAAAGAAAAGAAAAGAAAAGAAAAGAAAAGAAAAGAAAAGAAAAGAAAAAAAAGAAAAAAAGGAAGAAGCCATGCAGGCACAGTTAGGGCATAACCAGAGTAGAGGATGAAGTACCAGGATTGTATTAGTTCTGACAAAGACAGAATCCCCCACTTTGGGGGACACAGCACACCAAGACATAAGTTAACTGAACATTCTTAAAGTTTCAATAGTTTAACTGAAAAATGCTCTCAGAAAGTATAAGTGGATTGCCCTAGAACATAGGTCCCCTCAATTTATACACCTCTGTTTTTCACCCCTACTTTATACTTCAAGTTCTACCTTTTAATATAAAAAAAAAAGAAAAATAAGAAAAGCTGGTGAATGTGTTTTATTACTTGTCCAACCAAAGAGTAAAATCAGACAAAAGAGCAAGGTAATGAATACAACATTATGCAGCTATTATCAGAAAATCACAAGTGAACCCTCGTGGGCAAGAGAGAAAAACTGTTTGCTATACAGAATATACAAGTTCTAAATCTTGGGATTGGGGATGAGAAATGTTCCAGAAGAATATCTCTGAGAGGGTTATAACCAATTGTTATGAACAATACAAGAGTCAGCAAATTTTTCTGCAAAGGTATTTACTTTTCAGATAGTAAATATCTTAAGCTCTGGGGTGGGGGGTTTTGAATAGTTGAAACTATTCAACTTTGCCTGTGGAGTGCATAAACAGCCATAGATGATACGTAAAATTAGTAAGTATGGTTCAATTACCAAAAAAAAATATTTACAGACACTGAAATGTAAATTCATATAATTCTCAAATGTCACAAATTATCATTCTTCATTTGATTTTTTTCACCCAACCATGTAAAAATCTAAAAGCAAACCATCGGTAGCTTATGGTTCATACAAAACATGCAACAGGCCAGATTTGACCTCTACCTTGAAGAATACCAAACTTCATAAATTATTTTCTAATACTGCATACTAATTTGATGTCTTAATGTCTTGTAACTTTCTTTTTAATACTTAGAAATAGGACTCTCATAGTCATAGAAATACAATCTGTAAGAAGAAATGAAAATAATTTGTAAGTTTGCTTTTAAGAAAAGACAAGGCGGCTCGGCGCCTGTGGCTCAAGTGGCTAAGGCGCCAGCCACATACACCTAAGGTGGTGGGTTCGAATCCAGCCGGAACCCACCAAACAACGATGGCTGC